GAACAGGGATGAAGACGTGGCCAGCTTCCATTGACCTGTTTGAACGTTAGCGCGCGTTTTCTTTTGTGTTTCCACTAATGTTTGTTTTCTTATATTATTATTCTTGTATATTTTATGAACAAATAAAAATAAGTGCTCTAGTGGTTGCCAGATGGATGCTTAAGGCACTAGGAGGCTGGAGGTCAGGGGTTCGATCCCTGCCTCCAGCATTTGCCATTTTCTTGTTTTATTTCAGGAGATCCAATGTACGCTTGATCCTGGTGTCCATCATACTCCCTCATCATCCAACACGCCAGATGGGCAGATGGCCAAATCTGGTGGTCATCATTGAGGGTGCATCACAGGCCAGTCAAACGCAACGCATAGGATCAAGAAAGTCAAAACGAACCTCATATCTTTGGGCCCAAATTCCTGCTATGCACACCCCCTAATTTCAGGCCCATCTCTCATCTTTTTTTATTTTATTTATTCTATTTATTTTATTTTTTATTTATTTTATTAACAAAAATTATTTTCTTTCTATCAAAAAATCATAAAAATAGTATTTTTCATAAATTAAAAATTAGAATATTATTTTTAGCAATAAATTAATTAATTTAATTAGGTTGATTAATTAGATAACTTTAATTTATTTTTTGTAAATAATTAAAATCAATTAGAATCAATAGGTTTTATTTACTAACTTAATCATTTTATTTCTTTCCTAAAATAACAAAAACTCCAAAAATATGTCATTTAATTATTTTTCATTAATTTAATTAACTAATTAATTTAACATTTAATTTTAGGACTTAATTTCTTTCTTAAAAAATATTAAAAAACAACAAAAAAACATTTTCTTTTAATTAGGAGGGTCAAAATCCTAGTTTTCGCATTCGATCTAATTTTCTCGCGTGCTTTATTTTTCTTTATCCAAATTATTGTATCTGCTCCCGATTTGTAATAATTTTAATTAGGACATTTATTTATTTTTTCCGCTTTTAAATTTCAAAGGGTTTGTTTTTGGCGATGTAAATATCCGACGCCTTGTAATAGCGTAGTTTAATTTCTGCAAATATTCAACTGTTAGATGTTTGATAATAGGGCTTGCATGACAAGAATGAATGTTTAATCTTAAAACAGTTAGATCACCCTAAACATGTGCAAAGATAAATAATCTGAAATCAACACACTCGCACATGTGCACTCCTAGGGTACACTCCCACTTGGTTGCCTTTGTTAAAATGGTCATTAAGTATAGGTTGTTTTAGAGGTCGCCCTCTTGTCTAAAAGATCATAAGTTACCGCAGATATCGTTGCCTCGGATAAATGATCAAGGACATTAGGGTTACGACTAAGACGTCCTAACGTTGCTTTAGTGATCGTATGTCCCTCTTTCGAATTGACCCTCAAACTCTAACGACGATGCTACCTACTCACTAATAGTGGGATAGCATTGTCTAAAGGAAACAAACATAGAATGATTCCTTTTTCGAGTAGGTAGATTAGTTCTTAAGTACTTGCTCAAATAAAACAAAACTTTTTTCACACTTACACTCCTTTACAAACAAGTTTTCAAAAACACTTCATTACACTCTTGAAGACAGAAGCAAGAGTTAAATCGAAGTTAAAACAAAAGCTTTTTAAAACCCACAAACACAAAGAAAACAATTTTGAAAACAATGAGCAAGTACCTAAGAGCCCGTAGATAACTACGGATAGAAAGGGTGCTAATACCTTCCCTTTCTATAATCTACCCCCCGTGCTCAGAAATATCTCAAAAAAAAGGAATTTTCCTGTGCTTTTTTCCTTTCCTTGTTGGATAAAATAAAAGTCGGTGGCGACTCTTGCTTACCACGACATTTTGCAAACACAAACACAAAACGCAAGCCAGCATTCCAAAAACAGTCAGTTCTCCCACCGTATCACAGAACTGGCGAATCTGCTGGGGATAACGAATAAGTGGGGTGTACCTTAGGAATAGTTCATTATAATGTTTTCAATTGCTTGATTTGTATGCTTTATCTTTGTGGGTTTGAATCGGAGTTACTATAGATCCTAACCCGAATATGGGGATACCTTTTAGGTAAGTAGCAATAGACTGTGAGGGAACTGTACGGCGTAGACCGATACGGTTGAAGCAATAGCTATGTTGGTGTGACACTTTAGTTAGTATCGATATACCTTGTGGCGGAACAAGGAGAGTATGGGACTGCTAAGGGGTCATTAAGCACCAACTGATCTTAGAACCTATAATTGACCAACTTGGCCATAGAAAAGTAGCAGTATGCTACACTCATTAAGACCAAACTCTCGTGATGATTCCGGCTGCAAGAAAAGATTGCTAAACTGGAATTATGACCGATCGAGGGGGGTCAATGATATTGAGATCCTCTAGAACCCGATTACTATTACTAGGACAGGTTGAACCAACTAAACTGAAAGAGGGTAGTACCTAAACTCCATGCCAGCCTGAAATCTAAGGGTTACTGTATGCACTACAAGAAAATTAGTGTTTAACGACACAAAAATTGCGACAGTTATGTGATAACTGTCGTAATTGACATATAGCGACAGTGTTTACGACAGTTGACACCAACCGTCCCTAATATTTATTTTGCGACGGTATATTTAACCATCATAATATTATTATTACGACGGTAAAACAACCGTCGGCCCCCATTTAACACTTTTAACATTGATTTTTCACCAACAACTAGTCACGACGGTAAAATTAACCGTCCTAAAAGGCATATCACGACGGTAAAGCACCCGTCGCACCCTTAAACCTTTCACGACGGTAAAATTATCCGTCCTAAAATTCATTTCACGACGGTAAAACAACCGTCGCACCCAAAACCTTTAAAAATTCTCATGGGCACGACGGTAAAACACCCGTCGCCATAAAAAAGTTAAAAAAAAGCTGAGTTGTACCGCAATTCCTAACCGGTTTCTGCAGAATCGTTCACAATTCGTTATCGAAACCAAAACAGAACAAAAAAGAACAAATTCACAAGCTCCTTTAAGCTTTTCCGAATGGATCTGAACACGCAAAGTCACCGAACCATTACCAACCTATCCTCCTCTCAATCGTGCACAAATGACGCACAATGGCGCCCACGCCGTCGCCAGCTACGAAGGTGCTACGCTCCATTTCCGATCCGACCCCGACGATTCCGTTGCAATCGCACCTCTCACCGTTCCAACCGTGAGCCATCCGACAACCCACCAATAAGGCACAACCAACCGCCTCCTCAAACCGCTAAAATCTGATGAACCACATCCACCGCAACAATTCAACACACACCTTCGTCAGCCAACCCTTTGCAAACCACGCTTCCATCGCCGCCACTGAAGAAGGAAAGAAAAGGAAGAGGTATTTGATTGATACAAGATGATGCGTTGCAAACAAGAGAGAGGAATATATGGATTCAATTTGGTACTTTTTTCCCTTTTCTATATATCGATACATTTGTTTATATTTTTTAATTTGTTTTAGATCACAATTTTTGATCCCGTCGGAGCTTTGACATTAGATGATGGAGCTTTAGATCAGTGATGGCGATGGTGTTATTGTAGAGGCTAACGGTGGTGTCTTTTTCCATTAGTGTCAAGGTGTTTGTGAAAATGCATAGTTGAATATTGGAGTCCAGTAGCACTTTGACGCTGGTGTCTTTTGCCATTGGTGTCAAGGTGTTTGTTAAAATTTCAGCTAATCTCTCTCTCCTTTCAATGTTTCCCTTCACAGCAGCTAATCTCTCTGTTGTTTGAGTGTCCTTTTGAATTACAGATAAATAGCAGCAAATGTTCTAGCGAGCTTTTAGTGACTGTTTCTGCTTCTTTCAAGAATCCAAGCATAGGTGAAGAGTTATTGTCTTGGTTGTTTGAGGAAGAAGCAATCAACTTGTTTGCTTTCAAATTTACCAATGCCTTCCGAATTTGCTTCTTCATGTTCTTCCTCAAAGCCATGTATTTTACACCCTCGGCTTTGAATCCGGTTTCAATTCCTCTCTTTCTTCTTATGAGTGACTGTAGTTCATGTGTGTTTTCCTTTGATAGCAAAAGGCATTCCTTAGCTATACTGCAAATATCCAAGATCCTAAGTGATCCTTCTAGTAGGTCATCGGCACACTTTTCATTGCACTCTTGTGCTAAGGTCTGTTGTTCGATTGGTAATTCAAGTAACTTACTGATGCAATCATGCAAATCCTGCATGTCATTAAGTTTGTTGCATATCAAAGGTGATGCCACTGAAGAGGCACATTCCGAAGTCTTCAATCTTTGCAAATTATCCTCAAATTGTGATATTAGAGGGTGAGGAGTGGATGGTAAGCTGTTGCTGCGAAGATGCAGAGAGCTTTTTGTGTTTGTTTCAATGATTGCCATTTTTCTTCTCAGAAAGCAGAAGTTTAGAAGGTGAAAATATACAAGAGTTTATTTGAATACTTGAGTTTTTGCTGGTTTTTTTGCTTCATATATATAGCCACCAAATAAAGGAGACAAGAAGAATATTTTTGTTTGTTAAATGTCACCTAATTATTATGCAATGGTATCATCTTGATTTGGATCTCTGCTATCTCACCATGATCTGTCAATACTTTGCATGCACCAAGCTTCCAACTCATCCCTCAATTGTTTTCTTGGGAATTGCGTTGATTCTTACAAATTGGCATATTTTACAACATAATACTCAGAAATGCATGATGCATGCATTGTTAATGGATGTTTATTTGGAAGATGAGAAGATGCTGTTTTAAAGCATGATTATCTTTTAGTATATGAAATTGTCTGCCTGCAACAGGACATATTGAAGGCCAGGAAAGTCTCTTGATCTTCAGTTACTTTTATATTGCTTATTTCTTGGTGGGGATGTTTATGCAGTGTTCCCAGATCGACACTTATTAGTTTATGTTATATCCTTTTGTTTGTTGCAGTTTCTTGTCTCATTAACATGTGTAAAAACTAATTGATGCATATTGTACTCATGTGATTAATAAAATTAGGACAGATAAAAAACACGCATGCTTTTGTTTCTTGCCATTTTTATAAATATACTATTGGATAGAGATTGTCTCACCTCTCAAAGGAGTCTAAGAGCTGCTGTGAAGGGAAACATTGAAAGGAGTCTAAGAGCTGCTGTGAAGGGAACCTTGACAGCCTACCATGTTATTGCAAAGGTATATTTTTTATATAGTTTATTCATCACACATGTAAGTTTCTCAATCTTCGTGGTACTTTTTCTTCCATTTCGATAATGAATGTGTTTCTTCGTCATAGCTTCCCATCAGGTGAGCAAGGTTGGTGCTTATTCAAGAATAAAGCAAGAACTAGAGTCAAAGAAACAAGAATTCACCTATGAAGAAGTATTAAGCATTACCAGAAACTTTGAAAAGGTGGTGGGGGAAAGAAGCATCTGAAATAGTCTACCATGGCTGGATTGTGATGATATTGACGTAGCTGTCAAAATGCTATCTTTCTCATCAGCTCAAGGATATCTACAATTTCAAGTAGAGGTAGTATGATTAACTAACTTGCAAACTGTAAAACACTCACACAATTATAGAAACTATAGCTAGCTTTTTGATGCTATATCTCTTCTTCTCTTAGAAAACCTTTAGCTATAGGTATAAATCTTTAATAATAGTAGGAAACTTCAACATCTATCTCCTCCTTATTTATATAAGCACACACCAACAAGGAAATCTCACATTTATATTTTAGAAAAAATAGAAAAGAGGTGAAATAAATGAAAATCATATTTTTTCTTTTTTTTTTCTTTCTACATATATTTTATCATAGGACCCACCACCTTAAAACAAGCCTCATTTTTCAATATTATAATTGAACACAACCAAACCTCACCCCAAATTCATGAATCATCTTCAATCAACAACATTATTATTTATATATGTATATATATTATATACTATAGTTTATAGTTTATTATATGTGGCTTAAAATTGAAACATGAGCATGTCTTTGATTTGATCATACACGCTCTTATCTTAATTCTTAGCTAGATTTATAATTATATAGTATGCTTCTGCAGAAGCAGCATCTTATACTATACTATACTACGTATTATATTTTTTAAATTTTGAATTCATTTTTTTCTCCATACCGTTCTGTTTCCTGACATCTTCTTAAGGTATCAGTAACCTTCTCATGATTCCTATAAACCACACACAACCATTCATTTCAATTCCACCACATAAATTTTAATTAATTTACCATCTTATTATATATATATACTATACATTTTTCTTCTTCTGATCTCTGATACTAATAGAACTGGGTAATAGTGCCACTGCCAGGATAAATAAATCCCTTAGTAAAAACGAAATATCAACATCAAATTACTGTTTCATGCACTATTGCATCACAGAAGTAATAACTCACTTGTTACTGTAACATGACACAAAATCCACTACTAATTACTATACTAATTACTATATATGCCAACATATGTATATAATATATATATATTATTGTGAGTGAGAGAATATATTATTGTGGATACTGTAGATGGTCAGACTTTAGTAATTATATTTTAGCCCAAAAGCTGAAAGACTTCAGATATTCCTTAACCTCTGTTGCATTGCATTGCTAGGGAAGACTTTTGATTTATTTTTCTTTATAATGAATTTAATATTAAAGTTTGAGGTGTAGTTATGAAGATGAAAGCAACATATTTGTAGTAAAGTGTTTGTAAGATATGATGAAGAAGAAACATGAAATGACACTAGGTAGAATGCAAGAGGGTGTAACCATAACCTGATGAACATTACTATATTATTACCAAATGAAATAATGTGATGATGAAAGATTGAAAAGAAAGTTGAAGAAGAAAATGTAGCTATATTCATGAAAATTTGAACAATCTCATAATAGTTGTTATCTTCTCTCCCTTTCTATGCACCTGCTACATTATCATCTCTGTAAGTTACAGTTTGAAATATTCTGCCCCTTCATATTGAGCGTGTTCTTTTTTATTTAATCATTTTGTTTAAACATGGTTAATGATCTTAGGGACTAGACGCAATGGTTGATGAACATGGAACTCAACTCTAGGGAGGTCAAAAGCAAAGAGTTGCAATTGGAAGAGCAATTTTGAAAGATCCAAAAATATTACTTCTTGATGAAGCTACAAGTGCCCTTGATGCCGAGTGTGCATGTATTGATACTAACTTGTGCATTTGTATGTTCTTTTTAAACCTTGGTGATTTCCTTGTGCAGAAACTAGGGGAAGGTGTGAAAGGGGTGTATATCTCGATAGACGTGGATTGTCTTGATCCTGCATTTGCTCCGGGAGTGTCTCATATTGAACCGGGAGGTCTTTCTTTCCGCGATGTTCTTAACATCCTACACAATCTTCAAGGTGATGTTGTTGCTGGAGACGTCGTTGAACTCAACCCACAACGCGATACTGTTGATGGAATGACTGCTATGGTAGCTGCTAAGTTGGTCAGAGAAATGGCTGCAAAGATTGCAAAATGATCAAGAGATTTCGGAGCTAACCTCTTTTTGTTATAGTTCCTGAAAATCGGAAAATCTCACTTGTTATAGGTAACTTGTAGCAAAGTTATAAGGTGGTATAAGCATATTACAATGTGCAATAATTCATAAATCTTTTCTCCCAATAATAAGTACTGGTATCTCACGGAAATCTCACGCTTCAATAGCAAAAGCAATGTCTCCTTGCATTATTTTACAAATGGTTTCCCAACTGAATTAATAATACTGAGTTAGTAAATATTTCAAAACAATTGGATTGCTCATTTCAAAACAATGTTGAAAAGTGATAGAAAATAAAATAAAAATACTATAAATAAAAAAATATTAAAGTAAATAATAATTTAAATATAATAGTAAAATATTATAGTAAAATATTATAGTAAAATAATATTATATTTAAAATTATTTTACTAAATAATAATTTAAATAAAAATATTATTTGAAATTTATAAATCAGATTACGACGGTTAAAGTCAAATTCACGACGGTATATAACCGTCGCAAACAACAACAAAAAATAAAGTCAAATTCACGACGGTATATAACCGTCGCAAACAACAACAAAAACAAAAAATAAAGTCAAATTCACGACGGTATATAACCGTCGCCATCTGTTGTGCGTGACAGTTTTTGCAACCGTCGCGAAATAGGCTGGGGACGCACGATTCTACGACGGTACTTCTACCGTCGTAGATTATAAATTGCGACGGTTTTAACCGTCGTAATCAGCCAAAATAACCGTCCCAATCTATCATTTTTCTTGTAGTGATGACTTGTTTGCCCTTACCATGTTTGCTACCTGTGAATACTTGTGGTGTGTTCCTATCATGACATCATGCATCATGACATTGCATGCATATTTCATCAGACTAACCCATTTCAAAGACCAAGGGGATTCATCTTTGTTCTGTTTTGCAGATCATGGCATCTATGCGCAGAAATACTATCCGCATCAACTTCGTACAAATCCCTACTCAACTTAGAGAGTTGGTTTCTAATGTTCCAGATACTTCTTCCTTTGTCAGAAGACATGGTCACCTCCTTGGTTTGGTCACTTCTAAGATGGATGAGCAGATGATGAGTGTCTTGTTCCAGTTCTTCGACCCGTTGCACCACTGCTTCACCTTCCCGGACTATCAGTTGGTCCCTACTTTGGAAGAGTTCTCTGATCTACTTGGCATTTCTATTCTAGAGCAGACACCATTTACAGGTTAGGAGATAGCTCTTAGGCCAGAGGATGTTGCTACAGCCCTACATCTAACAAAGGCTTATGTAATGTCTAACTGGGAGACTCAGAGTGGGGTTAAAAGCTTCTTAGCAAAGTTCTTGATTGATCAGGCTCAACAGTTTTGGGACAGTTTGGACTTTCAAGCATTCGAAGATATCCTGGCACTTCTCATATATGGCCTGGTTCTGTTCCCAAATTCATATTCTTTTGTCGACGTGAATGCAGTGAAGATCTTCATGTCCTGTAATCCGGTGCCCACTCTCTTAGGTGACATTCTACATGCTCTTTATGCCCGTACTGCTTAGAAAAGGGGAACCCTTATGTGTTGTGCACCATTGCTGGCGAGGTGGTTTATTTATCACCTCCCTAAATCTATTTTGAAGAATAAGAAAGGTATGGGTTTGGCCTACAGAATTATGTCCCTTGCTCATACGGACATCATTTGGAGTACTAAAGACATGGAAGAAGTAGTTGTTATTGATTGTTGTGGGGAATACCCCAATGTTCCATTACTTGGAATCAGAGGAGGGATCAACTATAATCCTTGTTTGGCCTTACGACAGTTTGGGCGATCTAGGAGGGATGGACCTCATGAGTTGCTACTTCCTAACATTGTCTTTGACTTCCAGGAAGATGTTGAGGGATATCGCCGCAGATTCATACGAGCCTGGGATAGGGTGAACAGGTCTGATCCGTATGAGTTGGGAATGAAGACTTCTCTCCTGATGGAACCGTATCTCCGGTGGGTTCGAGCCCGTGCTCAAAAGCTGGGGATGCCATACGAAGTTGTCTTGCCGGTAATTGTTGAGAGTACTGATGAAGAAGGGGTTCCTCATACTGTACTCCATCCATACATGCCTAATGACATTGGGGCATTAAAGAGGTCTTGGATCCAGCTAAAAGAAGAACATGATACTTACAGAGAAAAGTATCATGAGCAAGAACGGAAGATCCTAAAGCTTATAAAGCATCTGGAGAATGAGAAGGTCCTCAACAACCATGTCAGCACAGGAGGAAAGCGACCATGGGAGCACTGATGTCTTTTGTTATTTCTAGTTTTGATTTACTTTTCAGTTTTTTTCTTTGTAACGCCTTAAAGGCATTTGTCAAACATTGTTTCAAGTTTTTAATCTAATAAAAGTGTGTTTCATTTTGGTTTACGAATTTGAATCTCCCTAAAGTCTTTGAAATCATATCATATGCATTCCATTCCCATGCACCTCATCATAGGTACCCTCACAGGTTTCTCACCTTCTTTGCTGTTAATTTCAGCACATCATGTCTTCTAAAACATCCACTGATCAAGCCATCAAGGCCCTACAAGCTCAGAATGCTCAATTCCAGGAAATGTTCATGAACTTGGCCAAGGGTCAGCAAGATCTGAAGACTCTTATCTTGAAGGATAAGAAGAAGAATAAGAAGAAGACAGTCCTCCTGAACATGGGTCACAGGTTGCGGGAAGAAGTTGATTTTTCCCACTCATCCGGAGGGGGAGAGAATCAAGAAGAAAGGAGGGCTCCTAGCCCTGTGGTTTCTGACAATGAGACTGACTTTGACGAAGACCAGTATCCTCCTGCTGAGGACAGGTATAAGTAACTCGAAGATCGGTTGAGCGCAATGGAGATCCAGAAGATACCTGGGCTGGATTTTGGAGATTTGGGTTTGGCATCTGGGGTGGTGATCCCCCACAAATTTAAAGCACCAGTCTTTTCTAAATACGACGGGGTCTCCTTCCCAAAGTTACACCTCCGCTCGTATGTTAGAAAGATGCAACCATATACTGCTGATAAGAACCTCTGGATCCATTTCTTTCAAGATAGTCTTTCAGGGACTCAACTTGAACGGTTCTACCAACTGGAAGGAGCTAACGTCCGTAACTGGGAGGACCTTGCCTCTGCTTTCTACAAGCAGTACCAGTATAATGCCGACCTTGCTCCCACGCGTACTCAACTTTAGGGTATGTCTATGGGTGCGAGTGAATGTTTTAAGGACTACGCCCAGAAGTGGAGAGATCTTGCGGGAAGAGTGCAACCCCCTGTGGCTGATAGGGAGTTGGTGGATATGTTTCTTGGGACTTTGTCTGGTCCATATTTCAACCATTTAATCGGAAGTTCATCGTCAGGTTTCACTGAGTTGATCATGACTGGGGAGAGAGTTGAAGCCGGTATCAAGAGCGGAAAAATACAGAAGGGTGCTTCGTCAAGTACCGAGAAGAAGCCTTTTAAGAAGGAATCTAGTGCAGTTTATAGATCAAGGAGCTATAACCGACCTGAGCGCCGCCAAGCGGTTAATGTGGTGGTTATATCAAGACCTGTTGTTTCCCCACAACGCAATAATCAGCCAAGAGCAGAGCGGTCGCAGAGACAATTCACTCGGCTCAGTATGACCCTGTCTCAGATTCTTCCGCAGTTGTTAAAGACCAACTTGGTGATTCCAAAGGAGGCTCCGAAGAATCCCAACACCACATCGCTGCTATATAATCCGAACGCCCGCTGTGCTTATCACTCTGATAGCCCAGGGTATGATACCAATAATTTCCGGGCTTTGAAAAGTAAAGTGCAAGATATGATTGATGCTAAGGAGATTGAGTACGAAGCACCGGAAAAGCCTAATGTCATAACGGCACCTATGCCCAAACATGACGCGGGAGTGAATGCTATTGGGGATGATGAAGAAGAGTTTGATATTGACAGCTGGATTTACCCGACTACTGACGGTGGATTAAGCAATTGGACAGCGAAGGATTCTATGCCTGTTTCTTTTATTACCCAGTAATGAGACTTTTGTTTTAAGTTTGTAACAGACAATTTTTAAACTTTACGGCCTGGTGTCTTACCCGAGGCACCGTGGCTTTGTTTGTGAGGGCTTTATATTTGTCATCTCCATATATCATCAATAAAAGCATTGGACATTTTCTTGCATTTAAAATTTTGCGCTCCTTGTTTTTTTCCTTTTCTATCTTGCAAAACAGCTATTTTACACACACTCACATATACAGGTCTACATCCACTATGGATCCCACTGATAACGACTCTGCTACTGCCAGTTATGACTTTGAAAGTCCGATCAACCAAGCCGAGGACGAAGGTGAGGATGATTGTGAAGTGCCTAGGGAACTTGCTAGACTGTTACTTCAGGAAGAGAGGGCCATACAGCCGCATGAAGAGCCAGTGGAAACAGTAAATCTAGGTACAGAGGTAGACAAGAAAGAGGTCAAGATCGGTGCAAATATGGAGTCTAGTGTTAAGCAACGGTTGATTCAGATGCTGCGTGACTATGTGGAGATCTTTGCCTGGTCTTATGAAGATATGCCTGGGTTGGATACTGATATTGTGGTTCACCGCTTGCCCACCAAGGAGGAGTGTCCTCCAGTGAAATAAAAAGTTCGCAGAATGCGCCCAGAGATGTCTGAGAAAATCAAGGCCGAGGTTATGAAACGGTTTGATGCCGGTTTTCTAGCAGTTACTTCTTACCCACAGTGGGTTGCCAACATGGTTCTAGTGCCGAAGAAGGATGGTAAGGTTCGAATGTGTGTTGACTATAGGGATCTGAACAGGGCAAGCCCCAAGGATGATTTCCCTTTGCCTCATATCAACGTTCTGGTTGACAACACCGCACATCATAAGGTCTTCTCCTTTATGGATGGTTTCTCCGATTACAATCAGATTAAAATGGCTCCCTAGGATATGGAAAAGACAACGTTCATCACGCAGTGGGGTACCTTTTGCTACAAAGTCATGCCTTTCAGATTAAA